AAGTGCTAAGTGCTCACAACTGAAACTGAAGTCTACAGGACCTAGGTGTTGAACATAAAGGGCTCTCGAAACTAAGTACCTAGTCAGGTCCTAGGCATCTCAGATTGGGCTCCCAAAGTCAGCAGACATAATTTTGGCTTTAAACTTCAGGATAATACCACTTTGCCTCACACTGATGTCATGAAGATAAATTCAATGCTTGCAAAGCACTCCTATTCTTGTGACAGGACAACAGAAAAGCCCATGAGGAGCTCAGTATTTTATTTAGTGCAGGGTTTAGATGGTGTGTTAAATAGAGCTTGTGGGCACACACTGAATGAGCATCAAACAAAATACTGCATATCCACCTATTCACTGAACACCATTCATCTTGTGCACTGAATGAGGCAAGACAGACAGTATGCGGATATCTAATTAAAGACTACCATAATACAGATCAAGAAAGGCCAGAATGAAGGTTAATCTTATATAATACATGGTTCAAAGCCCTGTAACTGTGCCTTGCAAAGGATCCTTCTTACTCTTCCTGTCCTACCAATTTTCCACAGACAGCTTCAGCCTCTTCGCCTCGAAGTAACTAGAGAGCTCTCCCCTTTGGTGTCAGTCTCATTAATTCCTCTATCCCTATAGGTACTCTTTTTCACTCTCAGAATAGCCTTCCCTAGTGCTCCAGCGAAGGCATAACTCAAAATTCATAGTTATAGAGTCACCGTATTAATTTAATTGAATTTTTGTAGTTACCAGAAATAACTCACGTGTTATTTACAAGATAATGTTCTGCATGGAACTGCAGTCTAATATTACAACCTGCGTACTGCAGCTCAGTTACCTGTTTAGGATTCTGTGTATGCATAGAGATTTTTCAAAAATACAATTAAAAAAAATGGGTAGATTTAGCTACTTAAAAACCAATGCCTTGTCTATATTCTACAGAGAGAACACATTCATAACAGTAACAAGCAGTTTCCATTGTGGTTTCTAACACTCCTGGGTTTGAAGGTCGTAACAATATAAAATCCTTTTGAAAATGATATAATAGTTACTGATGCATAAAAATGTTCAGCTCATTTGGATGCTTGATGCCCCAATGAATTAAAAGCCATTCACGATGAAACAACTACATGTATGTACATACTGACACTCTGTGGGTAGTGGAATTATAACATGATGATTCAGATGTGCCATTAAGCCCTTCATCTCAATTAACTATAGGTAGGGATGCACATTTTTAAAGGTAAATATAGGGAGAATTTAAGTCAGGGTAATTGACATTATATCAAACACAAGGAAAATTCATGGACATTTTCTGTAGTTACCAACTTATGCTTTCAAAAGAAGATCTTACTTGTGCATTTATTATTTTATCTGTCAGAAACTTTTCTCAGGCAATGAATTCAGATTATGGACTAAAAAGCAATACAATAGAGATTGCATTTATTAACCAGAAGTGATTCCAGAGTGTATTCAGACTCACATCTGAATCTCTGAGTTACAAAAATAAATTTTGCTATTTATTATTTCTGCTTGTACTCCTATATACGAATACAACTATGGAAGAGGGAGATGGATTCTACTCTGACTCACACGTTGTCAATTAATTAACTTACCATTAGCCAGTCAGGTCCTATCTTCATTTATATTCAATGGGACTGCACAAGTGTAAGCAGAACAGAAACTGGCCTGCAAAGTCTAGCACTGGTGATGATGCAGAAAATACAACTTGGTTTTTAAATGTCAGGTTGAGTTTTGCAGCGCTGATTTATAGTAACATTGCCTTTTACTTGCAAAATGAGAAAATAATCTGATATGGAAAGTCACTAACAAGAAGTCTAAGAAACCGACAACGCCTTTTTTAGCAGCTTCTCATATTACAAACTCCCTTTAAGCTATTGCTCTTTTCCCACTTAAAGTTTCATTTGAGGTTCAGGCTTCTTTCAACACCCATCCTCCTGCGGTCCCAGAAATCTCAGTGTTTTACAAGATAATTCTGCTGTCTCCTCCATTTCAGGTTCATGAAATCCCTGTAACTACCCTTCTAGTTGCTCAAGGAAACCTTGAATTTCCTTATCTTCCATAAATTCACGATTTCTGCCTTTATTTGTGTCTCTCTACTGCTCAGATTAGGGTGGGAAGTATAATTTTAAGAGATTTACATGATGATAGAAAAGCCAGGTTACTTTTAAGGGGGATTAAAGGCAGGTTCATAGTACACTCAGTCAGTTTGCAACATTACTGTAGGGTTTTTTCTTTCCGCACTGAAACAGAAATCTTAATTTAGTTGAACCACATTATAAAATTCATTTATCAAGCACTCACCTGTTCTAGGACTACTTCCTACATTCTGAACCTCTGACTGGCTTCTTAAACAGCTTTCGTTTTCTCCTTAAAACTACCAACTGTCAAAATATTTCTTACCACCCTCAAAATTACATTGGTTTGAGATGCAGGCCATGAATAGTTATATTCTATCCTAGACCAGTAACTTTTAAGGTTTAATATTTTACTAACCAGATTGGCTAAAAATTGTTGTTTTGACACAATTTGAAAACTAGGAGCCTACCTTTTCCAATAAAGCTTTTTTATGGGACATAAGATACAAGATCTTTAAATTACATTATGCTTTCTAGAAAAGCCATTTTAAATAATGTTGAGGTCTCTAAAATGTATATGACTTAGAATCACACATGTAGAACTGAAAGGAGCCTTAAAAGGTCAAGTCCAGCCCCCTGCAGTAAGGCTAGACCAAGTAAATCCAGACAAGCGTTTCTCCAACCTGATCTTAAAAACCTTCAATGATGGGGATTTCACAACTTTTATATTACTCTAAGTTATAATTTCCACTACCTTTCCAAATCCTGCATAGTTGTACTCATGGAAACAGCCACTTGGCTTTACAGGTGAAGAGACAAAAAAGTACAATTTAAAACATTTCTAAAATAATTTGCAATAAATTATGCAGCAACATGTTATGGCATGGTGTCATATAGACCCCAACATTTCAAACTTTTCTTGATGTTGAATATGGCCAATGTGTTTCCCAAATATGCACAAACAAACCTAGTAAGTCAGCGTATAGCTTATTTTGTCATTTCTTTCTAAGACTAGATATAGATCAAGAGTGGCCAAACTTACTGGCCCTCCGAGCCGCATACAACAATCTTCAGAAGTTTGAGAGCCAGGGCACATCTGCCGGGGGCTTGGGGCTTCAGCCCTGCAGAAGGCGCTTGACAGGGCTCGGGGCTGAAGCGCCGCTCCTGCTGAAGCCCCAGACCTTGCAGATGCACTCTGCAGAGCAGAAGCCCCAAGACTGCCCCCCTCCCCACTGCACAGAAGCCCCTACCCCAACACCTCACTGCGCAGAAGCCTCTACCCTACCACCCAGCTGCAAGGCAGAGGTCCTGAGCTCCCCACGCCCAAGTCTGATAGGTGAAGAATGGTGGGGGGCTGGGGGCTCTCTGAGACGCACTTTAACGGTAAAAGAGCTGCATGTGGCTTTGTGTGCCACAGTTTGGCCACCCCGATAGACTTTAAAGAGTTTTCCATGTGCTACAATCTGCAAGTGCCACCTTGAAGAACCTTGTTCTCCAAACGGCTTTCTAACCTAGTGACAAGAAAGAATGCTGCCTCTAGGAAGGTATGGCATCTAAAGACACCTCGAGATAGAGCAGTAATTAGGGGAAGTGATCTTCTAAGAAACATAAAAGAGTTCTACTCAACATGTTTGGGGCAGTATTTTAAGACTGAAGTGTGGTTTCTTCTAGTTATATAATAGTCATATGAGAACTTGTTTCCCTGGTTCAGTCATGCAGGAATTAACTTCTTTCCACTTTATGACTTGTTCGCCTTCAACATTTTAGGTAATACAGATCAGTTTTCATGTACAGTCACATGCCTCTTTCATAGTATCATTAACGTCAGTAACTTTATATATAAAAGTGCATTTCCAGATATTTTTGTCAATATCACACTTCAAGGCAAGTACTTTACCCTAATTTATAAAGATTCTAATAGCAATTATTGGAGCAAATCCCTCCAGAAAAAATGGCACAACTCCCTCACCTCCAAAACTATCTGAATCCGCCTTCAGATAAATGCCATTAAATTCAAAAATTGTCGTCTCTGATCCAAGGACACTGGCAGAAATAAATTTTTTGAAAGATATACCATTTATTTTAAAAGCCAGCTACACTATTCGAGTAAAACATTTTTCAGAAATTCCTACTTCAAAGAAGTAGTGCTATGCAGAAAAGGATTAGACCATAGGCAGATTAACAAGTAAACAGATGTCTACAGAAACTCAATTGTTTACACTAGTGTGCCAATTTAAATTCACTGCATGCCTGAAAGCATTTAATATTTTGTAGTATTACAAAAAGCTTATTGGTGGGCCTTATTCTCCCACCAACATGTGTTCCTGGATTTGTTTTTAATACATTAATTAATTTTAAGCAGGTAAACAAATATAGAATAACTGGGTACAGAAAATGAACCCCAACTAGAGCAATCTAAAAAAACCTAAACATGCACAATTTTGGTGAAACAGTCTGAACAGGCCAACTGAACTGTGGCTGAGCATTTCTTTCATCTTTCAGGCAGTTTCAAGTTATGAAATCAGCACTGATTAATTCATTATTAGAGACAAACAAGATTTTTTTAGTCTTACCATATTTTTCACTTTCAAATGGGTGGAAAAGTTATGATTCTAAGACATACAGAAACTATTTGAGAAAAATCTACAAGAATGAAACAGCAAACACCTAAGAAAAACTGGCAAGAGGCACAAACTAGACAAAACACTACAGCTGAGGAATTGTGCTCAATCATTGTTTACTTCCATTTTCCCCCACTATAACCCATCTGGATTTTTAATGCTAAGAAATAAGAAAACACTGTTCATAGTTTCGATTGCTACACCTCAATAAGCTGGCCAGTAAAAATACTGCAATTTTTTCCAAGCGAGAAAAGAAAAAAGAAACAGCTGAAGTGCCAGATAAATTTACCTGGAACCCATTTAATCTCCATTTCCATATCATTTTCTTCCCGTTTCTTCTCTTTTTCTTGGATACTCTGCAAGAGTTCTCTGTATCTGGCAATTTGCTCTTCATCATCCTTCTGGCTTTTCTTGGGTTTGTCATCTTCTGTTTCATGGGCTACATCACCACCTTAAAAAAAACAAACAAAAAAACAGACAAACACTAAAGCAAACACTATTGTGGAAAATCTCAGGATATTATGAATGAATATTTGAAGGCAACACAGCTAAGATAAGCAAACGATTTCTGGTAGAACAGTGGGGACAATCCATCTCATCATCATGAATCAATTCCTCGCTTTAAAAGATCAAATAAGAAAATGGAGAGGATACGGGAAAACTGGATAGCAGAAGGAACTAATGATAGGTGCAGAGTTCTTCACCCCTACTGTAGGTCACTAGTTTCTGAAACCATCACAGCATATTACTAACTAAAAATCAATACTTAGTATTGGTAAAGCACTTTGAAAATGTAAATGCAGTATAAATACTAACTAAACAATTACCACAATATTCCTGTGAGGCAGATAAATACTAATTCCTACTTTCTTAACTTTGGTTTGTCGCCTCAATTTTAAAATGACATGCCCCTATAGAGGGGAGCCAGAACTGGAAGTCAGGAGTTCGTAACGTATAGGTCTTTGCTCAATTCACTACATCACTGACTGCAAGACACTGACAGGTGAAGGAGCCAAAAGCAACGTACCTATTTTTCCTGGCATGTGCATATGCAAATAAATATGCAAGAGGAGGAAACTAATTATATATATATATATTAGTTCTAGCACTTTACTACCCTTCATAGGTTTGAAGTAAGCCTTTCCCTATATGCAACATACAGCAGGTCAGATGTGGTACTGTGTGATTTGTCACACTTTCCTTGTCACACTCCTCCGTGCCATACATTTTGGTACTCTGTAGTACTCATTACTTAGCCAGGCATTGGCTACTGATTTTTAGCAGCAGGCTTTTCCCTATCTCAGTTTGCAGCCATCTGAATGCTGAAATGTATTGTGCAGGAAGTGTTAGTTGTGATTGCTGAATGGGCATAAGTACTGTAACGGTACAGTGGGGGATTATTTTGCACACAGAGTGTACCAAAAGAGTTACAATTTGATTTATGATTTTTGTAAAACCCTATGTGAGATATTAGACATCCATAACTTTTTTAAAATGCTGCAGTTACTTCAAGCTGCACTTCCCTGCAGAGGCAAATCTGATGGGTAGCACTGTCCATATATGCAGATCAGGATCACTGTTGCCTGCTATTCAAGAGGAAGGGTTCACACACTGAGTACAGTGATGCAGCTGCTCTTTACTTCAAGGCTAGAGATCGTGAAACTGATGCTGTTGCTCTACTCTTCTACTGTTCACACCAAGAAGTGTTGTTCCCTGGTTGGGAGGACTGCAGACAAAGCAGACCCTTAACTTGGCTGCTGTTGTCCGCTTTGTCTAGCAGCAGCTAGAAACTGATCTCTGGGGACCCTGCTAATGGGTCTGGAAAGGGGCCAGGAGAGGAGTGTCTCCTTAGGAAGCAAGAAAAATTTGTGTGCGTGCGTGCCTGGAGTCCTGACTTCAGGGGAAAGGGAAATTCTTTCTTGGGGGCATGGAGAATGGACAGCTCTACTCTGCTGAAAGAAAGTGTCCTCATGGTCAAAGAGATTGCCTTTAAATTTTCCATGGCATTAGTTACTGATTTTTAGCACTAGGCCTATTTCTGTGAGAACCATTCATGAGTCAGTCCTCTTCCACTACTTGGTTCAGCTGATGAGGGCAGACTTTTAGAATTCAGATTTTGACATTGGTTTGGATACGGTTTTCATTTTGTTGATTTTTTTCAAAGTACGTTACCTAAGGCGGCAAAATTAAATGGTCACGGTAATGGAAATGATTTTCCACCTTCAAACAGCAAAGAATTATGTTTTCTTTGCTCAGGGTGCAGAGTTCCTAAAACATTCAGTGTTCAACATCACTTTCAAAAACTCTGTAAGACTCTTCATTCGCTTAGAGAAGAACAAAAAGAACATTTGACAAAAGCTGCTGGGAGGCCAGAATCAGGTGAATGCGTGTGCGAAGTTTGTTCATAGTTCAAATAGTCTTGCTGGTAGTTTTCAAGGGTCATGCTGTACTGCACAGCATGATAAACCACTTTCTGATTTTGATTAAGGATACTGGTTTTTTGTGCCAATAGTTTGTTCAAAGATTTTAGACAAAAAGTGAAATAAAGAATGCCTTGCACAGAAAGACAATTAAAGACAAAGTTCGAACATATGAATGAAAAGTAAGTAAGCAACTGAAAATTGCTAAAAACTGTAGATATATTCCGATTTTGTTTAGATGACAGTACCAACTTAAATTCTTTTGTACGATTGGCCACTGTGTGGAATTGATTCATCTATTGATATAGGCAGGAATGTCACAAAGAAAGATATTTCCAGAGCAGCGGTTCAAATTGTGAATTCTATCATTTTAAGAGCTCTTAACTAAGCAAGTTAAACATTTAGATGTAGAGAGTCTCAACATGCAGGATTGCTGATTTATAGCAGTGTCAGATGATTAAATTAAGGCCATATTCTTGGAATCATGGAAAGTTTGGAAGAAGTCAGTTTATTCTTAGATCAAAAGGGACAAGATTATCCTGAACTGGCAATAGCAGAGTGACTCGATGCTTTTTGCTGGCCTCACTCAATATGCCCACGAGTCAAATATAAAACTTCAAGATTCAGAGCGACAGCAAACATCACATTTGACACCAAAACTTATTAAAAGAAGCTGGAAACATTCAAGACATGGATGACGGAAAGCTAAAATACTTCCCTTTGTTGAGAAAACATCTGGAAAATTCAGCAACTTTTGTGGATATCATCGGCAACATCATAGAAATTTACCAATCAGATACAATTGAGAAGACACTGGAAATTTATGCAGGATGGTTTAAGTTCTGACAGATAGAAAATAAGTTACAATTCAAACCGCCACACAAACTGTTAGGAACTCTACTACACAGATCCTGAGTGGCTAGACTGAGAGGCAGCTCACTGCATTCCAGGAGAATGCTATCTGAAAAACAAAGTTTGTTGACTTCAATTCTCAGCTGACAAATACTGACCATGGAAGGACTGAAGAAAAACTCCTGAAAACAGTTTTTGTGAGCTTGGAAAACACTGCCATATTCTTTTTTTTCTATAAAAGACTAGCTGTAGCTTTGCTGATGACCATTCAGTTCAACGAACTTGTGTTAACTATCTTCAACAATTAACTGCCAACTCTAACATCAGAAATTGACTATCAAATGATATAGGTAGAACATACACAACACTGTAAAGAAAACACAAGCCTTTAATGAATAGCTGACTGTCAAAATGCAACAGCAGGAATCCCATGACCGCTATCTCTTCCCCTCTGGGATGTCATGTGTTGAAAATACTATGTTTACAATTTCTTGGCATGTAATGCATAAAATGTTTGCCATCACTGCACTAGACCTCTCTTCCCATCCCCCACAGGTACTAGATTGGTGTCCAAAGTGAAATAATTTAATTAGGCCCCTAGGAAATCTGCCTTATCGAGAATGCAGATGGAATCACAGAATCAAAACATTCATGTGGAATCCTGCTCTCTCCCCGCACTAGGACCGCAGCAGCGGGCAGGCAGGATGGGTTCCATGGGTGAGCTAGTGCAGCCCCACTTAGAGACAAGCTGCTGTGGATCTGGAGCCTTCTGCTCTGCTGTCCTGCACAGAGCTGGGGGTGTGGTGTAAGCTGATGTTGGAGTGTCCCCCTTCTCCCGCCAGTGTACCTGCTCTCCACTGACCTGCAGTGGGTGGACAGGAAGACATCTGCCTGTGCATCGGCCTCTGGCTCAGGAGTGATTGCTACTGGCTGAAGAAGCGTTCAGGCTGGTGAATGCTCTGCTTAAAGAGACAACATGCTGACAACACACACACACACACACACACACACTCCCCTGTGACACTCTCCACCTCAAAGTAGCACCCTGGATCCTCCATATTCACCACTGTCATCATGACTGTCACATGATATGTTTTGTACAAAGTATGCCTTTTGAGGTATCATTTTAAAGTCTTGATCTATTGAACACTAATATCCTGCTGAATTGGATGTACTACCACTGCATGTGAAGTTACTTGCTTTTTGTGTTACTGAAACATGTTGGGAGAGGCCCACAGCCAGCCTTTCAGCTGCAACAAAGGAGGGCCAGAGAGGTGTTAATGGCCCATCAAGAAAAGAATCCACTAATTCAGAGACTTCTCAGGGAAGGCAGGTACACTATGGAGGCAGCCTAACCCATAACACGGCAAGGATATTTCTAGCAGCTGGCCTCTCTCCCTCCCTGCCCACTCCATCTCAACAGCTGGAAGACTGTCTGGAAGGCAAAGACTTGGAACCAGAGAGATTGGTCCAATGCTGGAAGGGGTCCAGTCTGTGTATTGAGGAACTGTAAGCTGTCTATAACATCTGTTAGTGTTAGAAACTGATTCAAATCTTGCTTAGTCTGTTAAAGTTAGAATTTAAACTGTGCATTTATTTTTATTTCTTAGGCACCCCGAACTCAGATCTCTATGCCTGCTATTTATAATCATTTAAAATCTGTCTGTCTGTAGTTAATAAATCTGTTTTATATTTTATCTAAAACAGTGTGGTTTTGGTTGAAGTGCTATGGGAATCTCAGCTCAGGTTAACAAGAGCTATTGCACATCCATTACCCTTTTGTCAGAGTGGTGAACTAAGAAATGATCTTACACCAGTCAGGCTTCTGACCAGTGGAAGTTAGTACAGTTCTGGGGTGTAGTCTTGTCCCTCCCCAGCTGGAGCTAGGAGCTCCCTTTGCCGGGGCACTCCCAGCAACACAGGGAAGATCAGACATCTCCACAAGTCTCTTCCAGCTGCAGGAACCTCTTGGGCTGCTATCCAGTCCCAGAGAGCTCCCTGTAGCAGAGGCAGGCACCCAGAGGTGGGTCTGGTCTCCTCCAGTCTTTGCCCAGAGCAGCTGTGTAGCAGATGGACAAGTCCTGTCCCTCCCCTACCCAGCCAGAGCTAGGAGCCCCCTTTGCTGAGGCACTCCTAGGAACAAGGGGGCATCGGATTTCACAGGGAAGGGCTTATTTCA